CTTGGGTTTCAATGACATCAGTGATTCGAGTTTGATACATCTGAAAGGTGTTCTACCTCTTCACTTGTGTTGTCTGATAGAATATAAAACTATATAATATATCTTTGCTTTATATATGCGTATCTGGTATTTTGTACAAGTATTATTTATCTAAATAACGAGTGGTTGTTCTTTGCGAAACATTTTATAGGATCTTGTGATATTGTTTTCTTTGGGAAATTTGTTCCATGTTTATAGTCGCAGTTCATAATTTGATTATTTTTTACTTGGATCCAGGTGTGACAAATTTAGAGAGCTTGAACTTGGATTCTTGTAGAATTGGTGATGATGGGCTGGTTCATTTGTCAGGTTGTTGGTCTATAATCTTTCTTTGTTTATACTTTTATATTTAGTTGATCTGATCTATGGCAACATCTCTTTTTAGCAGATGGAGGATCATAGAAACATCTAGTATTTTAGGTATAGAAACTTAAAGGAAAGAACACAGGAGATAAAGGATAAAGTTGACGGAATTGCCATCACAACATATTGGAAAATTTTATTTTATTATATTTTCAAGTTTTCTGATTTTTTTGGAATATTGTAGTTTGCCTTTTGGGTTTCTTTTTATCAGATTGTCTAGTTCATAGTGTTACCTAAGCATTTGCTATATGCGGTTATGTAAAGAATAAGGGCTTTGAAACCATCCTATTACCTCAGCTCTTAATAATTCTCCGCTGTCTTGTAAAATAAATAAATAGATGACGGTGGCTGAAAATAACTGCTTTCGTTTCTTTAGGTCTTCAACGATTGAAATGTTTGGAGTTGTCTGATACTGAAGTTGGAAACAATGGCCTTCGCCATCTTTCTGGTTAGATATTTACCTTGCTCATAGTAGGACATCATGCATAATGATGCATCTATATTTTGCAGTTTCTTGCTGATACTTTTTGTTTCTAGTTTTGGTGGTAAAATGCTTCTATAATTCTCTCTGTTGCATATGATATTATTTCTAGTTGTTTCTCTGTTATCCTTACCCTGATTCACTATCCTTCTATGTAAGCCTTCTCAAAGCTCAGATGATTTTACATGGAAAATTTTAGAAAACTCTTGAAGGCACCTTTGTTAGACGCATACCTGTATCTGGCATTCACATGCAAGTTCAAGTAACAGCCTTGTTCATTTAGTAGTCTGAGGAGCTTTAATCATTGAATAGGCGTATTTAGAATGATATCTTCTCAAACAATTGGTTCTTATACATGATCACCCAGTATCTTTTGGGTCACTTGTAGGTTTGATTAATCTGGAGAGCATAAACCTGTCATTCACTGTAGTTTCTGATGGTGGTTTAAGAAAACTGTCTGGACTCTCATCTCTGAAATCACTCAACCTGGATGCTCGCCAAATCACAGATGCCGGACTTGCAGCTCTTACAAGTATGTCAATACATGCTTTTATTTGTTTAACATGATTCGTATGAAATAATGTGTGTTTCTAGTGAACGAGTTAATTGTCTAGAAACTGTCAACAAGAAACGAACATTTCTATTATTGCTCTTAAAGCTCTAATAATGCAGCTAAGCATCTAGTTACATTCAGCATTGTAGATTTTGTTTAATTGGTGTTTTCTTCTTTTGAAACAGGTTTGACTGGACTGACTCATCTTGATCTTTTCGGAGCTCGTATTACTGATTTGGGGACAAATTATCTGCGAAGTATGATACATGACTTTCTATTTTGAAATTCCCTTTAAAAAAAAGAGATATTTAACTTACTAGTTTCTCTTAATGGCCAAGAACCAATATATTGGTAATTTTAGCTTACAAGTTTTTTGACAAGGTGTTAGCTTGAAAGGAGTTTGATTTAACACCTATTTGCATGCATAATATTATCTTTCGTACTCTCACAGTGACCTGAACACTTAAGGACTAACTTTACATTTGATGTGTTTTCTCTTGAAGAATTTAACTGTTTTTGTTTAATAGACTTAAAGAACTTGCGCTCCTTGGAAATATGCGGCGGAGGATTAACCGATGCCGGAGTGAAGAATATTAAAGATCTTTCATCCCTGTCACTGCTAAATCTGTCACAGAACTGTAACCTCACTGATAAAGCATTGGAGATGATTTCTGGTATGGCTGAGATGCGCACTTAATTATCATTTTCCTTAAATCGTACATATCGTACATCTATTCGGGGATGGGAATGGAAGAATGATCCTCGTATGAAAAAGCCTGGAAAATTTGAGCAAATTCATATATGGTCATTATTGTACTAATTGCACTTGCATCTGAAATGCAGGGTTGACAGGATTGGTCTCTTTGAATGTTTCGAATTCTCGAATAACAAGTGCAGGATTGAGACATTTAAAGCCCCTGAAGAATCTAAGATCTCTGAACCTAGAGTTTTGCAAGGTCACCGCAAACGACATCAAGAAGCTTCAGTCATCTCACCTTCACCATCTTGTGAACTTCCGCCCCGAGTAAATTCCATTGGTGGCGTCCGTATATTCTGTAAGTAGCTTTTATCATTCTTCTACCTATGTTTATACAAGGGTAAAGCAGATGTTAGATATAATTGTACATTATGTTATTGGGCTTCGAATGGTATCAGACGTGAATACATGTCTGATTATGTCCGAATTTGTGTCGAGGCATCGACACGACATGAAAATTGACCCGCCCCTTCAGGGGCTGCGGTGAATAGATTGAATGGTGGTATAAATAATGCCTCCTTTGGATGATTTATGAACAGCTTGTGATGCACTGCATCTAGATTGTACTGGTTTGACCTTTGAATAAATTATATTGAACTATTAAACCTTGTAATGCTAATTTTAAGTATAGTTCATGTTTTTCAAGGGTTAGTTTTAGTGAAAAAAAACATTTTTTTAAAAATTTTTATTTATCTCTAACATATAAAATTATGAGTAAGAACACTCTTTATGATTCATTGTATTACTATATTAATATTACCAAAATAGTTCTTTAATATGAAATTAAATTATATCTAAATAGTATAAATAAGCCTTGAAGGGTAATTTTATCTTATAATCATAAATCAATAATGTTATTTCGTTTTTATATCTAAGTAATTTTGAAAAATATAATTATTTTCAAAAGTTTGAATACTTCCAATATAATTAACCCTAAATAAAATCAATTTATTTTAATCTTAGCTGATAACTATCTATCTGCTTATCTTGTTCAACATGTTTTTTTTAAAAAGTTTTTATTTATTTAGTTGTAGAAGCCACTAGTTTTCATTAAAAATAGAAAAAATCTCCTAATTATAATAAACGTTTATAACCACAATCGTAAATTAAAAATATAATAAAGATATTTTTCTATAATCATTAACATAAAAAGTTAATCACTTAAGACCACACAAGAATCATACAAGTAATAGATTTTTAAGAACTTAACCAAATTAACTAAAAATATAATATTATTATCAAATACATTTAAATGATTAAATTTTTTATTTCAATGAAGTTAAAATTTTGAAAATAAATTTTTTATGATTTATCAAACACACTTTAAATTGGTATCATAAATTAAATGGATATAACTCAGTTGAAAAATTACATAAAAATATAAATTATTAAATATTTCTCAGATTAATTTATATTTTATTATATAATACCTTTCACAACATTTTTTAAAATAACTATTAAACATTTTTTTATTTTAGAAATAATGATCATTCATTTTCGAAAATATATGTATTTTAAAAAAAATCAATGAAAATTAAATGTTAAATTATACTCTTTTTTCACTTTAGGTGTTTAAAATATATTTTGTTCAATGTAAGTAACTAACTAACACTTTTAATGTTACTATTTTAAATGTTTCTTCCGTCACCGTCGTTAAAAATATTTATAAAAACTTAAATGATATTATTTTTAGGAAAAAAAAACTCAATAGTTTTCTAAAATCTAAATAGCAAAAAATAAATCCCTAAAATCCTTAATTTCAAACTTCTCATTATCATCGTTGGTCATCCCCAATCACCACCACCATCGCTAAATAATCACCTATCTATTACCGCTCATTCAGGATCGGTCATTACCTTTATCATCACTCTAATCCCTTAAATCTCTAATCTCAAGTCTTTAATCTTTAATCTTTCCGCTCTACCATCCATTCTCCTATCGTTTTCGATTATTTATTTGTTATAAATAAACACATGGTCCTATAGATTATTGTTGTTATGAGAGATTATCATAGTGCCGTTCAACGAATTAATAATAGATGGGTGTGATAAGAGTAATGGTCAATTAATGGTTGGACATTGATAGATGAATGATAGTTTAGCAGTAGAGACGATGGTCGGAGATGACAAACAACAATTATAATTAAATTGGAATTAGAATTTTAAGGATTTAAGTATTTTTTTTAGATTTAAAAAAATTAAAGTTTTGTAAAATAAAAATATTTTTATATTTTTTAAATAAAAATATAAAAAAATAACCATATCACATGTCATATAATATATTTTTTAAAAACGTGACGGACCAAACTCTTAAAATATTAATATTAAAAACTTTAACTCAACAAAAAATACTTTACGTACCTAAAGTGATAAAATGTTATAGTTTGAGCATTTATTTTTTTTAATTAAACTTCTAACAATGTTAATTGGTTAATAATAAAAGGATAAATTACATATTTAGTCATTCATATATTTCTACAATTCCATTTTGGTCACTTAATTATTTTTTCAAAATTATGCCTAACGTTTAGTTTTAATTTCATTTTGGTCACCCACCGTTAAAAAGTATATAAAATTGTTGACATGAGATTTTTTTTATTTTTTCAATGATGATGTGACATTAATTTATGGTGATATGTTAGCATCAAATGTGACTAAAACGTAATGTTAGATATAGTTTTAAAAAAATAATAATTATATGATCAAAATGAAATCAAAATAATAGATTAGGGACTAAATACATAGTTTACCCATTATAGTAATAATACCGCAAAGTAATAAAAATGGAGTTTTAGACCTGGGGTGACAAAATAGGAAATTCAGTCTAAAAATGTCTCCTCCAATGGCAACTCCTTTATTTCCAAACAGATTGCTCTTTCTCTGTTCCTCTGTTTCTCCTCCACACACACGTTGACCCACCTCGGATCTGCTGCTTTTCTCTTGGCCCTTTCAAAATCCCTTATATTCAATTCCATTTCATTTCTCCCCATTTCTTTATAAGTTCTTTAATCTTTACATTCGATTTCTTCCGAGAGATCTTTGCAAAGCTTCAAGCTTTTTTTTATTTGTTTATTTTAGAATGGATAGTAATTATTCAGCCATACCCAAAGGCTCCCATGTAGAATTAAAAATGCAGAATGAACCCCAGGACTTTAGATCCCAACAGAAATCGCTCCTTTCTGATGACGGAAACTGGGTAAACCATGCCAAGGTTGCTCATGAGTTTGCTGATCTTAACGACGACGAAGACGACGATATCGATGTTGATCCTGATGATTATACCCTTGATCTGAGTAAACCCAATAATGGGTCTGGTATTTCTGGTGCTGTTTTTAACTTAACTACCACAATTATTGGTGCGGGAATCATGGCTTTACCTGCTACTATGAAGGTTCTTGGAGTTGTTTTGGGGATTATTTTGATAATTCTGATCGGGATTTTGTCTGAAATGAGTGTCGAGCTGTTGATTAGGTTTGCGGTTTCTTGTAAGGCTAGATCTTATGGGGAAGTCGTGCAGATTGCAATGGGGAGAACTGCTAGGGTTTTATCTGAGATTTGCATAATTGTCAACAATGCAGGTGTTTTGATAGTTTATTTGATTATTATAGGTGATGTTATGTCCGGTTCAGTTCGTCATCTTGGGATTTTTGACCAGTGGTTGGGACATGGCTTTTGGGATCATAGGAAGTTGTTGGTTTTGGTTGTTATGGTTGTTTTTCTTGCTCCACTTTGCTTTTTAAATAGGATCGAATCGTTGAGCACGACATCGGCTGCTTCTGTTGCTCTCGCCGTAGTTTTCGTTGTGGTTTGCTTTGCTGTTGCATTCATTAAGCTTGTTGAAGGGAAAATTGATCCTCCAAGGATGAGCCCCGATTTCAGATCGAAAATGGCAATTTGGGATTTTATAGTAGTTATACCTGTCATGACAAATGCATATGTTTGCCATTTTAATATCCAACCTATATATAACGAGCTTGAAGGGCGATCGCCTCAAAAGATGAACAAGGTTGGAAGGATCACAACTTCTATTTGTGTTGTAGTCTATGCCTCAACAGCTATATCAGGATATTTGCTCTTTGGGAAGGATACTGAAGGTGATGTTTTGACCAATTTTGATAGGGATCTTGGAATTCGTTTTAGCACTGCATTGAATTATATTGTCCGGGTCGGTTACATTTTCCATTTGGTTCTGGTTTTCCCTGTTATCCACTTTTCCCTTCGGCAAACCGTGGATAGCTTGGTGTTTGAGGGATCGACTCCTCTAACAGAGAGTCGGAAAAGGTCATTCGTATTAACAGTAATATTGTTAATGCTTATTTATGTTGGATCTACTATGATCCCAAATATATGGACAGCTTTCAAATTTACAGGAGCAACAACAGCTGTTTCATTAGGTTTTACGTTCCCTGCTCTTATTGCATTGAGGCTAAGTCAGCAGGAAGAGGGGTTGAGCTTGAGTGGAGTAGAAATTTTTTTGTCCTGGTTGATGTTGATATTGGCTATAATAGTTAGCATTTCTGGTACAATCGAAAATATTTATACTATTCAAAGGAAATCGGAATGATTCCTCTTGAAGAGTTTCGGGCCTGTTTTCCCAAGGTATAATTTTGATAATTTTGCTCGAAGCCTTGGCGATGGTTAATCTGCTTCAATGTTGCTTTGCTTGCTCGATAAGGCAATCAGATGGTTCGGGATGATGATATTGTGATGTATTTTTTTTCCTTCGAGGTGCCAATACACTGCAAGTCTGCAACAGTTTGATTATATGCATTGATGCATTGCCTTTTAATGCTTTTCAGAGCAACTGCGACAGGTTACTCGGTATATGATGAGACGATTTGGGAGGATACCGAATGGACCTTCATCTCCTGTAACCTGTAAGTTATTTCGACTTTACGAATTGGACCATGCTATGGATATGCTTAGTTACAACATTCTTCTTGCACAAAAGATTGGAGTATAACTATTTGCGGTAGGAAAAATACTAGAACAGATTAGGAGGGAGAGTTATTTTAGTTTACTTCTGGAGAAAAGCTCTGTGATGTACTGTAATAATTTTCATGATACTTGTGCTGCTACATGCTTCTATTCAAATGATACGTATTAGATGCTATGGATTTCATTTGAATCCAACTAAATGCAAAACCCGATATAGCTGATTCGTGCCTATATGTTTTGAAATCTATAGTTAAAAGCCGAATCTGCTCCGTCATGTTTATATGTTTGTTTAAGGGATTGATAGAGGAGAGAATGTTCATCCCTTTGTTACCATGTTTCTCCTTTGGAATTGGTAATAAAATTCAAGATCTGAACTTTGAAGTATGATCATCTAGTTTCACCTTCAAGTCTCATCTTCCTCATACGTTTCATTGTTTGGTTGGTGACCAACCTAGATTCTTCATTTTCCTCAAAAGAGTTCTATACAGGCCATATATTCAAACAAGGTGGGCTATACGAGATACGATCTTTCAAATATATGAACAAAACTTAAAAATATTTGAGAATATGTGTATGTGTTTTATATATAGGGTAAACTACATGTTTAGTACCAAAACTATTACTTTTGTTCCGTTTAGGTATCTAATTTTTTAATAAAAAAATCATACCTAACAATGGGCCCCTAAATTGAAACCTAAACTAAACGTTTGGTATGATTTTAAAAAAAAAATAAAGTTTGAGTACCAAAACAGAACAAAAGTATTAGTTTAGGTACTAAATGTGTATTTTACGCTTATATATATATATATATATATACACACACACCTATTTTTGACACTGGCCCTTGAGTTGGTTGTGATGTCTTTGTTGGAAAGCTGTGGTCTTTAAACTATTTAAAATGTGGTCTACTATAGTGCAGTCAACAACGGTGACCAATAAGTAACTAGATTCATATAAACAGTCGCTTATGTTCACTGCTTTACTCATCACCCCGTACATTTCTGGTGTTAAACGCCCTCGTGTGGTGCAAACTCCCTTTTTTTGAAACTTCACATACTTATTTCTTCCATTCCTGCATGAAAAAGTGAAAACATTGTAAATGAATGTGAATTATCATTATTTAGGGTTTAGGATTTAGAGTTTGATATTTTGGCATTTGATCAATCTTGTTTTAGCTTTTACGTGTGTGTATATATATAAATGTAACACTCTAAATCCTATCTGGATGGAAATCGAATTATGAATGTTAACGAAACTTAGTTCAAATATTAAAAAGTAAATTTCGATCATTGAAAATTTTACTGGATCAAATTTAAGAGTATTACATGATTTCGAACAATAACATTGGATTTACTCCGAATACTTTATCTGATTTAAAATGTTAAGTCTTATTGATAATATAGTTAGTGTAAACTACCCCAAAGTCAAAATTATAGTGTTGTTTCTATTTTAACCACTAGACAAAATATTTTGTCAATTAGGTCACTAAGCTATCAAATTAGTTTTAATCAAGTCGATGATAGTTAAATATTAACGGAATTGATGACGTGACAGTTAAGTAAATATGTATAATAACACATTTGATTCTCTTTACTTATACATTCTATCAATTTAGTCCTATTTTTATTTAAAAGGTGTAAGTAATGAGGACCAAATATGTTATTATACAAATTTACTTTACCACCACATCAACAATTTCATTAGCAATTAGCAGCTGCTGACTTTAATTATTAGTAAGTATAGATTATTACCTCTTCTGCTTTTTTCAATGGTGCTTGATCACCACAGTTTTGTTGATAATTTTCATGTTTATAGGGGTCGCAGACTAAAGGCACTAAGGGACCAGATTGATTGTAATCATTTTTTTCATTGGAATAGATAATGACTTGGTTCAGCAAATCGTTAATTCTTGTGGTCACGGCTTTGCCTGCTTGCTTGATCTCCTCGTCTGCTTCCTTGTTGGCACAAGGGATAATTTCCTCCAATGCCGAATTCGCCTTCGGGTTTTCAACCCATTCGCCCATCGCAATGCATGTATCCGACACTATTCTGCATTACTCGATCAGTTAAATTGGTTAAAATCGAATACCGACCACCTCGATAACTGATGAATATAGTTTCTTTAGAGACTTACCTATGGAACACCAAAAATATTCCGCATAAGTTGAATGTGAATGTGATGATAATCCACCAAAGGACCACGAATCTACCATTGCAAGGCGTAGATTTTCAGTTAAAAAACATGCAGAATTGAGAAAGAAAGGCGATGTAATTCCATGTTACTTACATACACACGCATGTTTTCATGCCGAGAATGAAAAACACTGCGATCCATTGAAAAACAGCAGCAGTGTGAAGATATATATATATATAGCTAATATAAGATGAATAATTAAAGAAATATTACGGATGATGAAGTATAGGTGTGTAAATGAACAGGATGTTCGATGAACTGTTCGTGGACCGTTCGTATAACGTTCGTTTATTAGATCAAATAAACGAGTATGAATATTTTTTTTGTTCATTTAATAAACGAATGGAAGTGTGTTTGATTCATTTATGTTCACGATTAATTTCGTTTGAAAGCTCATTTATCAACTCATTTATAAGCTAGTTTACCTTGTTCTCCTTTTCCTTTTATTTTTGGTGAAAGTAAGGACCAAATTGAATAAAGTGAATTTTGGAGTTCAATTTGTGAAGTCTAAGGAGCTTAAGGACTAATATCATAATTTCATTATTTTTTGGAAACATGTTCGCGAATGCTTAAACGAACATGTCGACAAACATCACGAATGATTGCACTATTTGAAAATTTCAAATTCCCACGTAGCTTAAGTATTTTTTTGTATTTCATATCGATGACTTGATTTCATATAAAATCCTCTAAATTTTTAATATAATTTCCTAAACTCCACCCTTGACCATAAAATCCTACTTCCATCCTTGGAAAACATATAAAAAAACATGTTTGCAAACGTTAAATTTAACATGTTCACGAATACTAAATAAATCAAATACAAATAATGTTAAAAATATGTACAAATTATATTAAAAATTATATTATTTAATAAATATATTGTTTTAGATTCAGTTAAAATATACATATTCTTATATTTTTAAATTAAATATATTTGAATTATGTTAGATAAAATTTTTATTATATTTATATTGGCTCACCTAATAATATTTTTTCTACATTTCTAGTTGTATTTGAATATCTGCGTACATAATGTATAAATTATTTGTGATTTAATATGATTATATATTTGAAAAATAAAAAAAATCAAATTCATAAAGTAATTATCATATTCATTAGTAAATCAAATATACTAATAAATAATTATAAATATTATATTTGGGATGATGATGTCACGTTCGACGAGCACATATGAGCACCGTTAGTGATGAGCATCATTAAATTAATTTATAAAATGTTAAATTATAAAGTACTAAACGTATAATTATAAATTAGTTAAAAATCTAAATGTAATTTAATTAAAATATAATATTTATAAAACATTAGTTTGTATAATCTTATTTAATTATAATTAGATCAAATATTAATTTGAGAAATTTATAAACCAGAATTTATTTTCATAGCTTTGAAGCTTCCGCCGCCGTCACCGCCGTCACTGGTATCATCTTTCACCGCCGACAAACTATAAAGACTAAATCACCGGCAAAAGATGATACTGACGATGGGAGCTTCAAAGCTATGAAAATAAACTAGGGTTTATAATTTCCCAAATTAATATTTGATCTAATTATAATTAAAATAAGATTATAAATATTATATTTTAATTAAATTACATTTAGATTTTTAACTAATTTATAATTATACGTTTAATACTTTATAATGTAATGTTTTATAAATTAGTGGCGATCATCGCCAACGGTGCTCATCCTCGCTCGACGAGCATTGTAGAAAATTTTCTTATATTTATATGTTTTGTTACTCAATTTACTTATTTCTAAAGTCTTTATTCATTGAAATAAATATATGTGGTAGAATTTTTAATTTTTCTAAAAAAAATATAAAAACATACTTAGAATAGGTATTCGAAAATAAAAAAGTACATACTTATACTGATGTAATTATATACAAATAAGAATTGTTTGATGATCTCCTGGTTCCATCTTTTGTCCCTTGAAGAAACAATGAAGGGATTTGTGTAACCCCCTAGACCCGGCCTATGCGTTTCGACTAAGTCTAGTGGATCACATTATGATTATTAAAGACATTTTTCGCAACCGTTGTTCCATCAATATAAAATCACATTATAAATAACATGAAATTATAAACAAATTATACTATCAAAATCTAACTCGTAAATATAGTACAAATAAATAATAATTTAATTTAAAACATGTCTTCAAATTCAAAATCACAATAAACTGAGCAGTATTAGCAAAAGAGTTATCATTATAAAATCCGATATTTTTAAAATAAGGTCTATGTCACCAAAATAAAGTCAACTTGCCAGATCAAAACATTACAATCTGATTTACTTCAAGAGATATGTTGATCCTCCAAGTGCTCGAACCAAGGTATCTAACCAACAGTATCTGAAAGGGGGAAAACATTTTCAAAAGGTGAGCTATGCTCAGTGTGTCCCAACATTTCCATAAAATCACAATAGGTACAAATCATAGTCCAGTAATCTCACAAATTCGTAAAAGAGTTTAACTTTTTGAAAATCATAGTTTAAACCCTTTTCCGGTACACCATCAGTAGTTGCCAAAATTATTTTCCATATAGCTTACTTTATGCACATAGCAAAAAGAAAGCCGACTTAAGGATAGGCTCTGAAGTTTGTATCCTTAAGCCCAAGTCAATAAGTCCATATAGCTTACCCTAAGCACACAGCAAAGGAAAGCCGACCTAATGAAACATCTTGGGGCCCTCAAGAGTCACATTAGGCCCAGTTAGCTTGATCAGAGCTATTCCATCGTAATTCAATTCCAAAATTCAATTGCACCGTGACATAAATTCCATAAATCCAAAAACATGGTAATCATATACCATTTCAAAACAAAAATTAGATAGCAGCCATATTCCATAAATTGTCACATTAAATTGGTGCATCCA